ACAGAAATGTGGTTCTACAGAAGGATGCTGAGCATACCATGGGCCGATCATGTAATCAATGAAGAAGTTTTAGAGAAAATGGAAACAAAAAGGAAACTGATACTTAACATCAGGAAGAGACAACTGAAATGTCTAGCGCACATAATGAGGAAAGGGTGCTTGGAAAATCTGATACTCACGGGACAAATAGAGGGCAAAAGAGACAGAGGAAAACAACGCATAATATACAATGGATGGCGGAACATAGCTTAGGAGAAATAACAGGAAGTTTATTAAGAGCTACAAGGGACAGGTAGTTATGGAGAGCCATGTCCTAAGGGGACATGGCATATAATGAAGCCGAATCTGGCTTAGGGAATAACTTTGTAAATCGTATTGACAATGATGGTTAGTAAGCGAAGCAAAAATGATCTGAGATCCTAAAAACGGTAAAAACTTATGGCGATGACGGTATTAAGGTTTAAAATGAACAGTTGATTTACCCACGCCAAGAAGACTAATAAAGTCAGATAATGATAAGGAATTTATTCACTAATTTATACGCTTAAAGTAGTGTCAGTAGGTCGTTTCAGGAAAATAGATTGGAATACTTAAAGTCCATAGTTTTAACGTATTTTCATGAAGAGGAAATGTTCATACAACAGAGATTAAATGATCTTGCACAAAATAATATTCAAATTTTAATCTTTCTCTTCATTTTATATCAAAACGAATTTCGCGTAGGCTCTCTATTTTTCTTCTTCTTGCTCAGTCCTCCGAATTTAAAGAGAGTGGGTGAAGGGAGGTCTTATTATCTCGCACTCACTACAAACCACCTCACAGAGATTTTTTTTAAAAATGTAGTTACGTATTAACAGTGTTTGCACATTTCAGTTGAAACTAAATGACAGTTTCGCAACAAAAAAGACATATAAAACCGGTGTATTTGGTTTAAAACAAGCGCCATATTTACCCAGAATTCCCTGTTTTTTTATTATTTAATTTTAAAGAAAAGAATATGAAAAAAAAACTTTAACCTAGGTACCTCCACTGAATTTTCGTTACCTAAAGTTTAAAATCATTTTTTAAAAATGAAAAAGCATCCTTGAAGATTTCATTTTAGCTTTAATTGAAAGCTAAATGATTAAATTTTCTATCTCCACTAATTAAAATATTCTGGTGTATTTTAATTAAAAATTATATAGACTGGAGTCTCAACTTTTCAGCCTATTTAAGAAAATTTTCTTAAAAGCAGCCATTTTCTTAATTTTAAGAAATAAATTAAGAGTTGATGACAGCTAGTATGGATGACCAGAATTGACAAATTTAAGAAATCTAAATGAACGAATTTTTTTGATTTTTAACTACCTAGTAATTTTTACAAATAACATATTTTCAGCAATTATCTAATATTTTATTGACTTTTATTTATGTTTTGAAGATACGTTACAAAAAATAATAAAATTTAAAATAATATAAAATTTTCTTAGATTAATTTTAAAATTTAATAACTGACATAAAATACCATGATAGAGGTAAAAAATCAATAATTTGTGAAATGTTACGGTATTTTATTTATTATTAATTGTTATCATGATGGTTATTTTATTATTAAATTTTTATAGTACTTTAAATTTAAAACTTACTTTGAAATTTTGAAGAAATGATTTGTAAAGACGTTAATGATGAAACAGAACTGAATAAAGAAAGTGTCAGATGACACTTAAATCACGTAAACTTTTTAAGGATTATGTCGTGTATAGCTTCCCATAAGTAGAAATTGGGAATGCTCTATACACTAAAAATTATTTTTTTAAATTCTTTTAAAAATATATTGTCTCAAGCGATTGTTATGAGCATTTAAATTTTTGATTCATAAAATTAATTTTCACGTAACAATATCGCCAAACCGCCACCTTGAAGAATTTAAAACAATTTTTTTAATATTATAACTTGTCTTATTATAATTTTAAAATAATGAAAATAATTCTTGTAATAATTAATTATTCGCCGAAAAAAATCTCTTAAGTCAATAGTGTCCTTAATAAATCTTATTTATAAAAGCAATTAAAAGCTTTTCTAATTAAATAAGGTCATAGTTTTATTTCCTTTTTTTATTTTACAATTCAAAGCAAATTTGCGATGAAAGGGCCAAATGTTTTGCAAAAAAGATTGATGATTTACTTTCTTCAAGGAGTCCTGCTTTTAAGTAAAAAAAAAAAAAAAATCCCCTCCCTAAAAATTTAATTTCTCGAAATTTCATGAAATTAAGTAAGTGGGTGGTAACATATGTAAAAAAAATATTTTTACCAAGATTTTCTTAAAAAACCTTTAAAAAAATTTCATTCATTTCTGAATATGTCCTGAAAGCTTTATTAAAATCCCACAATTATTTGATTTTTGAAAGAATTTTCAAATCAGTGTGCTTTTTTTTTTCCTGGAAAAATAAAATATAAAAAAAAAATAACCTTTATCTTCGGTCCGCCGCTGACGTAAAAAAAAACAAAAAAAACAAGATTTTTACCCAAAATTTCGAACATGCTACAAAGGAGTAAAAAATTTCAAAAAATATTTTGGTCTTTCCTCTTAATAATAATACAAACATTCTAATGAAAAAACTTTGTTTTTATTGAGTTAGGGGCCCTTTTTCATCATGCTATGCTGTTTTTTACGTAACTAAGTGAAGGTATTTACTTTAACCTTTGTTTTTTTACGGCTTATCAGCCCTTTTTGGTTTATTTAAAGCTGAACACATTTTGGAATGTAAGAATAATTCTTTTTCTGCGAGTGAATATTGCATTTACAATCTTTGAGAATAACAATCATTTTTCGAAATACATTCCTTACAGATCGAACAGTCTGCGAGTTTAAATCATAAACCCAATGAAAAACAAATCATAGCCAGATTAATATATACTCCTGGGTGCCGAATGCAAGGAGGGTCTTAATAATCGGTGAGACGGCATTTTTTTCAGTAGGCAATTAACGGAGGGGGGTAATAAAGGGGATCGAGGAATAATTTAAAGGTTCAAAAAGTGCGAAATTAATAAATGGCGTGGTGTTAATAAGCTCAGGGGAGCCGGAAATCTTTCTAGTAAAAAAAATGGAGGCCTCTTCCTATTTTTTGGCCCCTAAGAAAAGGAACAAAATGAGATAAATAGATCGACTACCAAACACAACGTACGCTCTTAATAATGTCATACGGACAAGAAACATGTCGATTCTTCTTTATAAATCTACTTAAAGAATAAAATATTCGTACGTATGTATTTTCAAATATGGATAATAAACGCACACGTCAGACATATTTAAATCTTTTTGGTCGGCTTTTTTTTTCTGACACGGGGACAAAAACTCAACTCGGTCGCTAAGTCTACCATAGAAATTAATGATAAATAAAGCAGTAGGAGAGACCTCTCTAATAATAGGGAGAGAACAAAAATACGTATGTCGGCAAGCAAGTCATTATAGCGAGCTGACCCCGAAGGCTCGAATCTTTGTGCTAAGAATTTGTACCTTATTAAAACGAAAATTAGCGGGGGTACTTAAAGAAAAACAAAATGGAAATCATTTGATACGAATACATCGGGGGGAAATTCGTATTTCTTCCTGGAAATAAGGAACGTTGTTAAGTCGGTTGGATGGAAATCATTGCAGATTTGGCGTTTGCGTAGTTCTAAAAAGAGTTTTAATGATCATTTCTTGTATAGGTAAAATGTATAATGTGTGAACCTCATTTTTAAGCAACTACTGTGTTGTTTACGAAGGATAATGTTACAGAAGCAAGAATCGTTTGTACAGATATAATGTTTGGTCAATGAATGAAAGATTGATTTTTTCAGCAATTGATATGATTGGATTCTTTGCATAATAAGCAGAAAATATGTATTTAGGTTAATACAAGCTTTTCCATCAGCGAATATAAACTTGGTTAAATAGCCGACAGAATTAGAGTACAATTAGAATCATGAATATTTTCAGACAGAAATGTTTGGTCGTGTTCAGGAATCATCTAAGCATAGTAAATACAGCCTCTCACCTTGGAACAAATTAGGGCATTAATGTTTTAGCTATAATTCTGATACTAGCTATTTATGGAACCTGGAATATTATGGCTAGGATTTATGAAACAAATCCATCCAAACTTTCATTCCCTCTAATGATTCCATATCTAGTGATATAGCAAATAGTAAAAGCATCTATAGAAATTCATTTTGATTTATGAGTAATATTATCTTATTAATATTTGTTTTTCCAACTGTAATTTATCAAAATAATTTCCATCTCCATTAATTTTTCTTTCTATTTTCAGGTGAGTGATGGCCATTTTTTTTGTATTCATCAAAATCTGTTACGGTGTCATTTCTGAAGGTAGTCCTCCATGTTTCTAAACAGGTACGTTATGACCTTAAATTAAATGGTATGATGTTCATTTGACAATGGTAACTCAAGCAAAAATGGTCTAGTCACATTGGACTCAATTTTATTAAAAGGTGAGAAGCGAAGCAAGATAATGAATGTTTGACAGTAAAGGGGGGCATGTGATTTTAGGGGAGGCACATAAAAAGATGGAGAGCAAGAGGAAAGAGTGAAGCAATGGGGAGGGTAAAAGAAAGAACAACCAAATGGAATTGAGAGGGTGAGAGAGAGATGAAAGAGAGAGGAGTGAATGATTATGAGAGAGAATGTATGAGGGGAAATAAAGGGTAAAAATAAAAACGGAGACGTAAGGTCGTCGAAAAGAAAGGATTGGTTGTTTTTTACGGCTTACCAACCTTTTACAGGTTATTGAAAGCCAGAAAATATTTTAGATTGTAAGAATTCTTTGGAGATAGTAATGATTTTGTACTGATACAAGTCTTGCTAATCAACCCATATCTGGAGGAGAAAATGTCGGTTCATACCTTTCCCAAGGGAATTTGCGCGTAAGATGAATATAATGAACCTGACTGGAATTCGAACTCGGCTCTTCCGATTAACAATTCCGAGCCATTATCCATTACACCACCCGCACATCCAAGCTTACAGCACCTGGCATTCCCAAACAGTCACCCATTTAGGTACCTGACCAGGCTCGTTATTGCTTAACTTCGGTGATCGTACGAGAACCAGTCTTTCAACGTGATATGACCGTTTGCCCAAGGAGAGAGGAAACAGAATAGAAAGGGGGGGGAGATAGTCCGGGAAATAGACAAAGAAGTAGAAAATATGCAATACAATGGTGGCGGGAGGAGCATAAAATTAGAAGGAGGAAAAGAGAGGAAAATAAGATGAAAGAAAGAGGGGGATAAAGAATGGATAAAGATGGTGGGGTGGAAAGAAAGAGAGGGAGCCGATGGAAATAGCAGGGAAAAGGAGAGGAGAAATAGAGTGGAAAGGTCATAAGAAAAAGAGTAAAGACAAGAGAAAGAGGGGGTAAACAAGAAAGGGAGAGGAGAGCAGAAAGAGTAAAAAAATAAGAAAGAGAGAATGAAACAAAAAGAGAGGGGAAAACAACAAGATAAAAAGGAAAAAAGGGGAGGAAATGAAAGCAAGAAGAGCATGGGAGTAAGTAAAAGAAGAGAGGGGAACATGGGGGGGAAGAAAATAGAGTATAAGCAAGAGGAAGAAAAGGGGGAGAAGAGAGAGTAAATGTGAGGGAGGCTTAGAGAATTTGACACTCATAGGATATACTAAAGGCAAGACGAGTAGTGGTAAACAGACCTTGTGTGGCAGAACTGGAAGTGAGATAGTAAAAAGACAAACATTGCCAAGAGCTACAAGGGAGAGGCTGTTGTGGAGAGTCATGATCGCCCACGTTCTGAAGGGACACGACACATAAAATAAGGTATCTGTCAATCTTGAAAACTGAAAGCCCATACAAATAGCAATAGATGCCTTCCAAAAATTAAGCGAAGTATTAAGAAAAAGGAAAAATGTATTTAGGAACAAAGAAAAGAGTACTGAACTGTTATGTAATATTAGTTCTCCTATATGGCAATGAATGCTGGACAATCTCCTCATAGATGAAGAAGAGACTTGAAGCAAGAGAAATGTAGTTCTACAGAAGGATGCTGAGAATACTGTGGATTGAACATGTAAGCAACGATGAAGTTTCAGAGAAAATGGAAACAAAAAGGTCATTTATACTTAACATCAGGAAGAAGCAGCTGAAATTTCTAGGGCACATAATGAAGAAAGAGGGCTTGGAAAATTTGATACTCACAAAACAGAGGAAAGCAATACATAACCTACCTAGTGAGCTTGAATAAATGGATGGCAGAACAAGGTTTAGGTGAGATAACAAAAAGAAGAAATTTATTAAGAACTCCAAAGAACAGGAAATTGTGGAGAGCCATGATTGTCAACGTCCTAAAGAGTCACGACACATACAAGAAGCAGCTCTGGATGATGTTTTAGGCGCAGCGTCTATTGTGGCTTAATAGGCCTATTTAGTTGAGAATGGCAATACCTCCCACACTTTGCACAGTACCTCCCACACTTTAATGCAGGTCTGTCAGATTTTAGAATTTCCTTCTTTGCCTTTTCACGCCCAACTGCTGGGAAAATATCACTTCGAAATTGAAGAGGTATTTCTGTACCGCCTGCCTCCAAGAAAATTGTTCAAAGACTATTTCCCCACATGTCTCAGTTGATGACATCTTTGTAGCATAGTTGGGGTCTGCCCTTGGGACGCTTTTCCCTGGGCCAGCCCCACCGTACATGAGTATTCGACCGTCGTCCATTTGCACGACGTTTCCGAACCAAATCAAGTGCATAATAAGGGCATAGTTCGGTGTTGTCCTCAGTAGAGTTGCGGTTCGTAACAACCCCCCAGATAAGTGAAATAAGTTTTAGTACTTTATTTCTGATTTTAGCACTGAGATATATGGAATGGTAAATATACAAGACAATTTAGAACATTTTTTACAATAACAGGTCCCAAAGAAAAAAAAATTACTTAAATTTAATTTCTATAATGTTATATCATCATTAGGGCTAGATTTGAACAGACTAAAATAGATAGATTTGAACAGACTAAAATAGATAGATAGATAGATAGATAGATAGATTGGCGCCCGTAAGCCGTTTCTTCGGGGCTTTTGAAACGCTATTTAACCCCAAAACAATGGTGTGCTAAAAGGATTTGACAAATTATTGCCAAATTTTTCTTGTAAATCAAAAATCTAATAAATAAATAGTTTAACAATTTTATTTTCAATTCTCAAGAAATATGTTTTAAATCTAGTTACCGATGTTTAGGTTTTATTAAAATACGAAAATTAACTTTTTAAAGCCATTAAAAATGTTAGGGCCACATCCCGTTGAAACACTGGTTGCCGTACGATCATCGAAGTTAAGCAATGTCGAGCCTGGTCAGTACCTAGATGGGTAAATGCTTAGGAATGCCAGGTGCTGTAAGCTTGAATGTGCGGGTGGTGTAAGGGATAATGGCTCAGAATTGTTAATTGGAGAGCCGAGTTCCAATTACATGCAATACCCTTGAGAAATGCGTGAATCCCCCAGCTATGGGTTAATTAGTAAGACGTGTATGACTAAACCATTATTATCTCTCAAAAAACATCTTACAATCTAAAAATTATTTTCTGGCTTTAAATAACTTTTGGTTGATAAACCGTGAAAAAACGAATCGGTCAATCAATTCTCATCTTCAGCAACTTTGTAAATATCTATCAGTCTGTAACAAACGTCATTGTCTCACGAAAGTGCTACAAGTCTTCCAACCTCTTCAAACTTTACGGCAGCGGTTCTCAACTAGTGAGGAATTCCCCCCCCCCCCTGAAGAGGAAGTTAAGGGTTTCAGCCGGTGGGATTGAGGTCAGAGATTGGTAGATTCAAAATGTTTACTTTCGAACACCCCAAGGCGGCAAAACCCGAAATATGCATCGGTCCGTGCAACTGAGAGGTCATGCTGGGTTTTCTTTTCGTTCGCTCTTGTGATTTTTGCCACTCCAAAAATAATCCATGTCAATGTAGACGTATTAATAGGGAAAAGAATGAAGATTTTCAATAATATATGCAAATTATTTGGAATGGACATTTTGAGTCAGACAGTCTTGGAAAGGTGGGAACGACACCCTGACTTATGATGAAAAGGGGTCGTGGGGCAAAATGGGTTGAGAACCACTGATTTAGATTTGGCGCCATCCATGACATCCAAAGTCTCGATCTGACGCGGCTATTTAAGAACATGATTCCAGTTTTTAGTTACGTATCCACAATGTCGGTATTCATTCGAGACAGCAAAATCCGAGGAAATCTATTCGTTGACTAAAGTAAAGATATGCCATGATAATTCCCACACAAATTACTTATATGCCTTTGTACAATCATATCAGGATGACATTGTGACAGTCCTTTGGATTCCTTCCAGCCTTCCAGAGGTTCAGGATAATTCTATGCCTGATATCAATCAAATGAATGCCTCCAATAACCAATTCTGAGCAGTTATCCATTATACCAAGGGTTCTCAATCAGTGGGGAATTTCCCCCTAGTGGGGAGGTTTTCAGGGGTGGGGGAATTGTGGCCACAAATTGGTAGACTTAAAATGTCCACTTTTGAACACCCCAAGGTGGCAAAACCCAAAATATGTATCGGTCCGCGCAACTCAGAAGTCACGCTGAGTTTTCTTTCCCTTCGCTCTTGTGGTTTTTGCCGCTCCAAAAATACTAAAAGGGAAAAGAATTAAGATTTACAATAATATATGCAAATTATTTGGAATGCACCTTTTGAGTCGGACGATCTTGGAAAGTGGGGAATGACACCCTCACTTACGATGAAAAGGGGTTGTGGGGCAAAATAGGTTGAGAACCATCTCTTTAAGGGAAATGAGAACATTCTTATTGATAGTTCTTTTTATGTCGTTATACAATGCGATGTCGTTATACAATGTCAATGGATATTATTTTTCCATCTGGTACTGATGACAAAACCATTTCCATAGCTACTGTCTGCTTTCAAAGTTATTAAATCGTGCTTTACAAATCGGATATTAATTTTATGTCCTTCTTTGATTTTGGTTTCTTGGAGACAGTATACATCAAGAATTTTCTTTTCTCACAAGACATCTAACATTAAACGTTTCAAGAGTAAAATCTTTATATGCAATTGAAGATATTCACAAAGCTTTGAATCAGAAGTTACTGTTGACATTACAGTTAAAGGAAAATACAATAAAAATCAAGCGTTCAGTTGGTTAACGTGAATAAATCAGCTTTTGTCGCGTTTATTGTTTATTTTGTTTGTGGGAAATAATATTTGCTAATGACACTTGGTCATCAGCAAAATTAGTCAAAGGTTTTATTTCAAAATCACTTCACATATTTTAAGATAGATAGATAGATAGATAGATAGATACACACACTTTTTGTGTCCTGTCACTGGATCTAACTAACGCCTTTGTCCACTGTGCCATGTGTCCTCAAGGACATCTGTGTATGAATTTCTGGGTATTATCAGTGTGAGTTCAATACCCGGTTACGGCAGTGGAGAACTTGGAGAGGAGAATTAACAGGAGATAACTGATAACTGACATCCATTAGACTAGAACAGTCTACTCCAGTGAGCGAAATAAAGGGTTCAGTTCGACATTCCAACAACCTGAAGAAGGCCGGAGCATACAACGGCTGAAACGTTGTAATAAATATGACAACAAAGATTAGGACAATAGTCCGAATAATGTAAATAGTGTACATAATTCCTCATCTCAGAAATATAGACAGATAATAAAAATTTTATCCCGTTGAAACATTGCTTCCAAAGTTAAGCAACATCGAGCCTGGTCAGTACCTAAATGGGTGACCTCCTGGGAATATCAGCTGAAGTAAACTTGGATGTGCAGGTGGTGCAATGGCTCAGAATTGTTGACTGGACAGCAGAGTTCAGAAATTACGTTCATTATATCCAATTATTAGCTAATACCCTTTGGAAAGGTAGGAATTCATCTCTTCTCCCCCAGTTATGGGTTAATTAGTTAAACTTTCATCATTAAACCATTATTATGTAAAAAGGAATCTTTACAATCTACAAATATGTTCTGGCTTTAAATAACCTGCAGAGGGTTGATAAGCCATAGAAAATGAATCAGTCAAATCCAACAAGATTAATTATTTATATTGGGGTAACGGCTATATCATGCTGAAACACCGAAGTTAAGCAACGTCGATCCTGGTCAGTACCTGGATGGGTGACCTCCTGGGAATACCAGGTGCTGTAAGCTTGGATGTGCACGTGGTGTAATAGCTCAGAATTGTTAATCGGAGAGCTGAGTTCCAATTCCAGTTGGGTTCGTTATATTCATTTAAGTGCAAATACACTTGGGAAAAGTATGAATCCACCTATTCTCCTCCAGCTATGGGTTAATTAATAAAACTTTTATCAATAAATCATTATCTCTCCGACCCCCAAAACCATTCTTACAATGTAAAATTATTTTCTGGCTTTAAATAACCTAAAAAGGGTTGATAAGCCGTAGGAAACATATGAAATGATCAGTAGATGAGTAATTCCACGAAAAGCGGTTTTTAATCTCTTGTAAACTGACGCGGTCAAAGATTTTGTTATTGTTCTTGTCCCTACCTTTTTTATTATATCCAATGCTCCAGTTATTATTGGCATCATAGTAGTTTTAAGGTGTCACATTTTCTCACTTTCAATTTCAAGAACTTTATATTTATTTTGTCATCTTTAACAGATACTAGCCGAGGTACCCGGCGTTACCCAGGTGTACAAGGCTGCCATTGTATAACCGCACCCCACGTCTAAAAATGTCTGCCTGCATCCCCGCTTGTATGCATCTTCTGTTGGTATACTAAGCTACTCCCTCCTCCCACGCCTCATCTTTCGCAAGTGTTTGATAGTTCTTAATAAAGGAATTCTATCGATGAAAACTTCTTGTGTAGTCGTTGCTCGGGGTTAAATTGTTTCAATGTTTTAGATATTCAGTAAATTTCCTATGGCCGTAATAACTTTCAAATACTATGGCATTGTTTGCAAATCTAATAATAACAAAAGCAGGGATGAAGCATCAGAGCTTGATTCAAGTGCAAGTGCAAACGCATGAACGCCCCCCTCCTTCATCGCACGTTTACTGTAAAGCTGGGGTTAATAAGAGGTTCTTCAGGATTTTTTCTCTTTTAATGCTTCAATAATCCTTTTCAAACAATCTTTGTATCAAAGGTTGTTCAAATGCCAATTTAGGATGGAATCATATGAAGAAACTATTGGCTAAATGGTAAAAGCCGTTTTTGGATCTAGTTTGTCGCAGATTTCGTCCACTTAACTGAAATAATCTGAACCAAACTTTCATGCTAGACAATTTGTGTGTCATATGTAATTTACATGGTAAATTTGGAAAGCATCGGATGAAAAACTAGGTTTTTATCGCCGAACAACGGGCTTTTTTAACAGCTTTTCGTGGTTTTTCGTTATACGCGGGGAAGCGAGCATGATACTGTCTTATTTCTTGCATGATGGCAAAGTTTTTGCGATATGTTTGACGATAATCGGATAAAAAATAAAGTTATTCAAGTTTTTATTTCAAATAAATACGAAAAACCGGATTTTTTCACGGTTTTTTGCAATTTTTTGTGCGAAGCCAATGTTGTAGGAAAACTATCAATCACTCTACATAAACCTTGTAACATGAGCTGATATTTTGCACTAAGCGCAAAGAACATCAGCTCATCCAGTCAAAATTTTGTTCGGATGTAACTTTGCCTTGGTTTTTGCAAAAAATCATACCCACCTTTAGTTTTATCGATTTTTCTGGGGACCGGGGGCGGGATGAAGATTAAAAAGTTGGTCTTCACCTAATTTGTTAAATTTGCAACACTTGTGTACGATTTCATCCAAAATCGGCCGGGAAATGTGGACGTGCATAAATAACATACACAGACAGACACACACACAGATATCTATTTTATAGACATAGATACTTAATCCGATATCACATATGATGAGTGTTATGATGTTGATTTGGGGTTAGTAGAGACAAACGCCAAATAACACGTAACAATAAAAAGGGTTTTAATAGGTTGGTAAATAGGTACAGAAATCACTTGAGTAGTCAATAACTAGCTCAGCTAAGAACGGTTCTGTCTCTCTCTGTCTTTTGACATGCCACTATTTAAAGTCTTTGTTCACAAACAAGTTCATCTTCCAGAGGAGTGGTAGGTTTCCGACACAACAATGAGGTATTTGTTTTTTCTTTGTAGTCTTAAAACACTGTCTGGTCTATTAGCTTTTATATGTCTGTGAGTAAGAATGGTAAAGTCCGAAACAATGACTTCATGGCGTTCGGTGACAGGCTCAGGGTGATAGTCATACCATTTTCAAGCATGTAAGGCACCGCATTACTGACATATATTCCAAAGAATATACTCTCCAATCTTTGTATTCCTTTGGTGTCAAAATTGGACAGCCAAACACTAAGTGGTCAATTTGATTTGTAAACCCAATAAATTTACTTGGAGATGGAACCAAAGCACCGAGTCTGTCTACAACCAGTGGACTGAGGTGGCAGATTTTCAGCAGGATTCAAAGATTCGTGGATAATACGAGCAGTCCCAAAGAGTGCAACCTTCTGCAGGTGTCCAGTATTGACACTCACCCCAATCTTTTCCAGCCAGTTCGAGAGTTGAATAATTATGGTGCCCAGAGTAACAATTATTATTATTATTATCATTATTATTATTATTATTATCTCCTTTGATTCCTGGTGTGTCGTCATTTCTTTCCGGGTCCCACCAGAAATGGCATCATGACATTTTCCCCTGAGCAATTAAAAAGAAACATATCTGGTAAGGTGTGGGCTGTACTCGTGAGCACAATTTTTTTGTATTTCTTTAAGGTTTGGGCTTCAAGGAATCCCTTAAATCAGTCTATTGGAATCTTTTCCACTCAATCCGAGGGCTCCAATTACAACAGGGATTGTTGATGTTCTCACGTGCCACATTTTTGAGAAAAAATTATTATTATTTTTGTTGTTGATGTTGTTGTTGTTGTCCTATTCTTTGCAGCTCTAAACCATTTTTCTCCCTTTACTACCCAAATGTCTTTTTCATCGCCATTTTCTTGGAAACTTCCTCTTTGCTCACGTTTTTTTGCATGGTATTCTCAGCAGTAGAACCATATCACTTTTGCTTCAAATCTCTTCTTCATATGTGAGGAAATTCTCCAGCTTTCACTACCATATAGCAGGATTAATTACATAGCACCCTTTTCTTTGTTTTTGTCACAAATTTTTCCTGCTTCTTAATACTTTGCTTCGCTTCTGAAAGGCATCTTTTGGCATTCAAATGCAGAGAAAGTCAAATAAATAAACAAATAGCAATTGTCGTACCATAATTTGTTATTTTTTAAAAAATTAACGAGTTTGACTTGTTATATTTACAGTAAAGTTTCTCAAAACGATTGATTGCACAGTGTCAGATGATTGGACGGGGAGGAGGGCATTATTTCCGTAGATAGGCCGCTGACAGTGACCGACCAGAAGAAAACGAGTAAATATCACTCTACAGCATGCGCCCCAACTTACTGCGTGTATATTTATCATGACGTGATATTGGACGTGCGTTGAGGGTGGGGGGGTAGGTACAGTAATGACGCCAGTGGTTCTAAATTGAGGAAGAAAGGAAAAAGAAGCAAAAAAACAAAGAAAAAAATGTCTGATATGGAGAGGTTAGGTGAGGAAGACAAAAACGAGAGAGAAAGAAAATATAGGGAACTTTGTAAAAGAAGAAGAAGAAATAATGGAAAAAAGAAGAGGAGGAGGAGGAAGAAGAAGAAGAAGAAGAAATAATGGAAAAAAGAGGAGGAGGAGGAAGAAGAAGAAATGGAAGAAGAAGAAGAAAAAGAAGAAGAAATGGAAAAAAGAAGGGGGGAGGAGGAAGAAGAAGAAAAAGAAGAAGAAGAAACGAAAACAAAGAAGAAGAAATGGAAACAACGAAGAAGAAATGGAAAAAACAAGAGGGGGGGGAAGGAGAAGAAATAGAAATAAAAAAGAGGAAGAAATGGAAACACGAGAAGAAGAGGAAGAAAAAATAGAAACGAAAAAGAGGAAGAAAAAGAAGCGAAGATCAACAAGAGGAAACAGAAGAAGAAGAAGAAGAAGAAGAAGAAGAAAGCAAAAGAGAGAAGGAAATGGCAGAAATGGAGAGCGAACAAAGCAAAAAAAGGCAAGAAAAAGTAGAGGAAATCGCCGAAGAAATTCTGGTGCAAATAAACTAGTTAGATTCCCGCCCTAAACGACTTCTTTGATTACGTTGTTTAGCTACTTAAAAAAAAAAAAAATTCTGCTTAAGCGATCCATTGTTGCTGTGTACGGTATTAACGTTGCCTGCTTCCAACTCAGTTGTTTTCACTCTTGTTAATCTCTCTCTCTCTCTCTCTTCTCTCTCTCTCTCTCTCTCTCTCTCTCTCTCTCTCTCTCTTTCCCTCTCATTCATTTTCTTTGTCTCTTTGTCTATTCTCT